CCTGGGGGATTGGGGCCTGGGCCCTCAGCGGGTGTTCATAGCAGAGGCCACCAGAACACTGCCAAGAGTGTCACAGTGAGGCAAACTGGAATCCTCATTGAAGAGCCAATGGGAACAAGTAATCATTTCATTCCTCACCTGATGTGTAAATGCAGGAATATGACATAAAAGGGGAAAAAAAGGTGGCTGTTAAAAGAGGGGATGAGGGGGCCCTAAGACCTTTTCATTCATTCAGAGGAAATAGTATTGTCATGGTAATGTTGAGTCAGACTGGGTGCCTTTGAATCCTGGGTCCATGTCTTGTGAGCTGCGTGGCTCTGTGTGGGCTACTTAGCCTCTCCAAGCCTCTGTTCCCTCATCTATACGAGGGTGTAGCAGTGGAACCTGGACTGCTGTAATGATTAACTGAGATAATACACGTAAAGTGGTTGGCAGAGTGCCTGAACCAGGACTTGACCCCAAAGTGTGTGTGCTTAACCACCATACCAACAGCTTCGCCCTTTGCCAGGGAAATGGAGACAGGAGCATCTGAGGTCATGTGGGAAGGTCCCAGGGGAATTGGGACAGGCTCAAAGAAAGAGAGGAGTTCCTCCAGTGTGAGCGGGGCACAGCGTGGGTCTGGTGTTCCAGGCAGAGAGAACAGCTTGTGCCTGGAGCTCAGGAAACACGTAGGGGGTTGGGTAGTGGGATTTGAGGCTGAGGTGTTGCACTGGGGCAGATCACAGAGGGCCTCATGGACCAGCCTGAGGAGGCTGGATTTTTATCCAGTGTAGGCTGTGAGGAGGCATCTAGCATTTTCAACATGTAAATGAAATGATCATATTTGGATTTTAGAAAGGCACTGCTGGGCTGGGCAGCAAGACCGGGGGCAGGCCAGGCAGTTCGGAGGGTGAGTCTGTGGGTCCCGGTGAGGGGTCGCGGCAGGCGAGGACAATGGCTGGGGGGGCATGGAGAAGTGGCCAGGCTCAGTGGGGGTCTTCATCAGAATCGGTAGGACATGGGACTGTGCGGTGTTGGGAAGGGTGTAATCTCTCCTGCTTCTGTCTTGGGTGACTCAGCGGAGGCTGGTGCTGGCCACGGAGTTGGTAAAACGGCACGTATTAATCCATACAGTGTTCAAAAGGAGCAAGTAGAACGCATAGGCCAGCGAGGAAATCATAGGATTCATTGATCCATGGAGTCAGAGGCCCCATTCCACAGCTCGATAATTCCCCAAGACCACAGCGCGGAGAATTTCAAACACATTGTATGTTTTATTGCCTCTCGGAGGTAGAACAAACAGCTCCAGAAATCTGTCCTTATTTCCTGGGGGCTTTCTGGAACATCTCTAGACCAGAGTCTGCAGCCCCGGTACCTTAGCCTGGGGCCAGGACATCATGTAGGACGCTGTATGTAGGGCCAGGACATCATGTAGGATGCTAAGTATGTAGAAAGATTCAGAAATTTGCCCATTCTCTTCAGTCACGTATGATCAGGCTTAGGAACAACAATGGCAACAACAACATGTTGGTTTTTTATGATCTACATACAGTTTTCAGGGAATAGGCAGTGATTTTTTTTTTTTTTTTTTAAAGAAAAGTAAAAGAGCCACCAGAACATTGTGGAAGATTTCTGGTGCTTCTTTCAAGGTCGTCTTGAACTTCTTTTGTCAATTAGGAATATTTCCAATAAGAAAATCCTTTTTTTATTTACCAAAAAAGTTGACCTTGTACAAAATGTTAAAGAAAAATCTTTTGGTTCTCATCACAATCCTACTAACCTAAAAATAGCCATTTTTACTTTTCCTTCTTCCCTTTCCATTCCTATATTTGTAAAATAAATTATAAGCATAGCATCAGTGTAGTCTGAGGTATGCTATTTCATTTAGCATTATGTCATACATAGACTTCCTGTGCTGTGACATAGTATTTGTTACTCTCATTTTTTTTTTTTTTTTGAAGATTTATTTGAGAGGGGAGGTTGGAGGAAGGGCAGAGGGAGAGAGAGAGAGGATCTCACACAGATTCCCCACTCAGCCTGGAGCCTGACCTGGGGCTTGATCTCACAACCCTGAGATCAGGACCTGAGACAAAACCAAGAGTGGGACTGGGACACTTAACTGACTGCACCACCCAATTGCCCCTGTTACCACCATTTTTAATGCCTGCATCGTGGTCCGTTGAGTGCACATATGATCATTTAGCCAGGTCCCTGCCATCAGACACTTAACACTGTTTCCAGTTCCTCTGCCTTACCAGTGGTCCTGCACATAGCTTTTTGTTACTTCAGATTAGTTCCTTGGATTTCATAGACCGAAAGGTATGGATGTATGTTTTGTGAATATATGTACGTATGATGTGAAGGGTTGTACCCATAAACTATGTCACCAGCAATTTGTGAGAACTTCAGTCTTGCCACACCTTGGACAGCACCTGACATTCTTTTCCAAATGTCTGCTAATATTAGAGCATTGAACATGGTATCTTCCTGCTGTGCCTGCTGTATGGGGGGAATCTCCCGGACTAAAATGCAGACAAATCTCTGCTTTTTCCAAAGCAACTCATCCGTGTTTATCTTGTAGGGACTGAGGCTCTTGCAACTTTATTGTAGTGGCTAGGTAGGAAACTCTGAACCCAAATCATAATCCCATGTTTAACCAAGTGAAGACTCCATCCATCTTCTTGCTTTCCGTATTTCCCTGCGATCTCTATCCGCATATCTAGAAATGGTCAGTACTGCAAGCTTCACGAACAGCTGCTTCATATCTGGGCAGTTCTGGGGGAAGACAAGTTCTGTGATGAAAGTCCGAGGGCGTCCTTGGCCAGACGTTGTGAGGCCAGTTCCAGTTCCTCTGCCGTGCCACGCATCATGGGCAGAGCGCATAGAAAGCCCTGTCCCTGACTCCGCTCAGTCCCCTCCCCGAATCCTGCTTTTCCTCAGGTCTCAGCCGTTTGAGAGGGACATAGACAAAGTGAGAGCCCATAGCCGCAGCTTCCAGGAGTTAGGCTGAAAGAAACCAGGGCTGTGTCAGCTACAGACATGATGTCCTCCAAGATTTCAGAGAATGACTACATTGTTTCCTGCAGTATCGTCACTATCAGATAACATTTTAGAAGCCCTTTTTACTTCCTAAAGCGGTATCGTCATGTTCTCTTATTAGATTTTCTAACCATCCTTGTAAGCAATGCATGTTTTTCTGCTTGTTTGGTTTTTTTTTTTAACCCATTTTCAAATGAGGAAAACCTGCCCCATTATTCACACTGGAGACGGCTTCCTAATGAAAGAAATGGTCCACCTTCATGGCACCCATTCAAGAATCTCAATTTCTCTCTAATTTGTCCACTTCCTTCCATCCCACTGATGCTGACTTAGTTGAGGCCACCATCACCTATCCCTCGGATCTGGGGAGAAGCATATAAACCTCCGTTTCCCCAGGTGTCAGAGGAGGGAACTAAGCACAGAGAAGTTAAACAGCACGTCCAAGTTCAAGTAACTAGCAGGGTCTCAGTAAGTGTCTGTTGAGTGGCTGAGCAGATCCATCAGTGAGAGCATCAGTGTGGCTGGAAGAGAATGGGGGTGGATCAGGAGAGACTCCCCCACGTCCTTGAAAGGCCTGCAGTGTTCAAGCCCCGCCAGTGGGAAGTCGGTAGTTGGGTCTCCTCTCACAAAGGGCAGCCAGCAGGCGGGCTCTCTCTGACCATGCCTGCCTGCTTGGTGAGGTACTAGAAGAGGAGGGAGGCTGGAAGAGTTTGGTGAGAGGAGAAAAGTCCCTCAAAGTAAAAGGGAATGAGTTATCAGGACAATCGGTGGTACTAACGGGTAATTTTTACTGGGCCCTTACCAAGGGCAAGGCATTGTTGTAAATTATCTGCATACGTTTGCTACTAGATTTTACAAGAATTCTCTAAGGTCCGGGTTATTATCATTCCCTTTTTACAAATGAGGAAACTGAGTCATTTGAATGTTGACTTGCCTAAGGGTCCCCAGCCAACAAATGGCTAAGTTTGGATCTCTCTAACCCAGGTAGCCCAGCTCCAAAGCCCTTCCACAGAACCCCCTCGCCGCCCTGCCTCTTCACAAACATCATGTCTGTGAACACCAAGGCTGAGGCCTGCTGGTTGTGTCTTCACCTTGGCAGATGGCTTTGCTTCCAAGCTGCTTGCAAATCCTCACGACTATCCCAGGCAACACTGTGCATGAGCCAAGCGTACCCCTGGGCGGGGGTGGGGCTTCATCCCTGCATTGAGCTACATGCACGGAGCCAGGTCCCTGCTCTCAGGGAGCTTACATTCAAGTAGGGGGAGGCAGAAAATCGGCGCGCAGGGAACAAGTGCCAAGATAGTTTCAGAGTTCAGAGTAAGAAGAAGACATGAAGCAGGGCCACGAGATGGTAAAGGACTGCTGGTTCTCCTCCCCCCCTGGCTGGTCAGAGAAGGTTGCTAGGCAGACGCCTGGATGTTGTAAGCAGAGGAGCTCACCACGTGGGGATGTGGATGAGGTCGCATTCCGGGAAGGAGGGAGCTGCCTTACAAAGGCGCCCAGGGGGAGTGAGCCTGGTGTGTTTCAGAAATAGGGAAAAGAATTTGAAAAGCCAGCGTGGCTGGAGTCTGCTGAATAAGGGTGAGTCAGAGGAGAGGAAGACCAGGAGGTAAGAGCAGGGACTGGTGACAGGGGACCAGGATGGGTCTTCGTTCCAGGCTCGATGGAATCCACTGGAAGGCTTTAAGCAGCAGGGCAGACACTTTCTGCACACACTTCTCCCACATTGTGAGCAGGAGGGCAAAGCGCAGAGCAGCCGAGGGAGACCCCTCAGAGTCCAGGGCCTCACGGTCACTCCCATGCTCAGTCCCCTCCGCCCCACTCCCAGCACTGGTGTCTTCTCCAGGGTCCCTACCAACTGTCAAGAAGTCATTGCAATCAAGGACATGTTTTCCCTTTTCTTTGGATTGTTGTTTGTAAAACGCAGTGACTGTGCTCCCACCTTTTCCCGATGGGTAACTGGGTCTTGTGTTGACTTACAGATCATAAGGCAGCAGTTTCCTCAGCTAACCACCAGAAGACTTGGGACGCGAGGACAGTCAAAGTAAGCACCGGCCGCCGAGCCGTCCGCAGAGCGCGTGTCTCTGAGTCAGGCCCGCACCCTGGGCCATTTATCCCCAGCTCTGTTCCCAGGCCTGGCGGGAAGTCTGGGTCTGGCACGGAGTAGACAGCAGGGCCCCCTCTCCCAGGGCCTCTGACAGAGAGGCTGTGGGAAGGCCCAGGGCAGTCGGGCCCAGCCAGCTGCTTTAAGGAATCTGACTTTAGGCCACCCTGCCTTTTGGTGTTTTTGTCAAATGGTCTTGGCCATCACTTAGAAGAGCACTGGAGGCTTCGTGGACAATCTCTAGTTCCTTGGATTGCTTTGCTAAGCACAGCTTCTACTCTGATAGTATCCAGTCGACCAGAGAAGCTACCTGCACCAATCCTGCAAGGGAGATGGGGTGGAGGGGTCCAGCCAGACCCGGGTACACAGGGCGTGCCGTCGAGCAGCCAGCCCCTATCTGCTGTCACACTTTCTGTGTGTCTCATGGACAGAGCAGGTGCACATCACCTGCCCTCCCAGAGGGTATAGTTTGGTGGGGAAGACAGATCAAAACAAGATACACAGATTGTGACAAAGAGGCTTGTCATAGGGAATAACCGAAGGAGAGTGGCCTAGCTCAGAAAGGGTAGCCCAGGAAAGGCCTTTCGGGAAGAGTCCTGGAAAGTGAGAAGGATGCATGGACCCCTTCCCCTACATGGGAATTGGTGGGGAGGGAATCTCTGCCTTCACTGCACAGCCTTCACTAAAATCTGATTTATAAGATTTGCCTCAAAGGGTGTTTCGAAAATTATTGGATGTTAACAGGTATTCTGTGGAGAAGCTCTTTTTGCCACATACGTTTGGAAAGCACGGAGTTCATTCAACAGGTTCCTTTATGCAGGACTTCTCAGAACCTTTATTATGTTGATGTACACGGTGACTCCACTAGAGGGTGCCTTATTATGTAGCATTTCTAATGCTTTGACCATGTCCAGTAGCAGATCAGCACATACTGATACACAAAATATTGACACTTAAAAAGAAAAAAAAAACAAAAACAAAAACCAACCATATAGGACTTGTTAAGACTTGAAACTGAGGATTGTACTTCAAAAAGCAGCATTTCCCATAATGTCCCTCAACTCTCCCTGCTCCTGCCATCCCTGGGCAGCATTTCTGTCCTCCCCAGGTGGACTTAACTTTGGAGCCAAGTTAGGTTTTAAAAAAGGTGATCAGGCACCTGGGTTAAAGCCAGTGGGTTAAAGCCTCTGCCTTCAGCTCAGGTCATGATCCCGGGGTCCTGGGATCGAGCCCCGCATCGGGCTCTCTGCTCAGCGGGGAGCCTGCCTACCCACCCCCCCCGCCCCGCCCCTGTGCCCACTGCCTGCCTTTCTGCCTACCTGTGATCTCTGTCAAATAAATAAATAAAATCTTAAAAAAAAAAAGTGATCAAACTGGGAAAACCACTTTTTTGGTGGGGGGCAGTAAAGCTCTAGAAAATAACAAGACTCATTTTGTGTGTATGTGGCTCAGAAGCTCTTGGGGCGATTTCCAATGAGCTTTACAGAAATATTTTGAGCAGGGGATATTTTGGAATAAATTTCTAATGATTTTCCAAAGTAACTGCTCTGAAGTACAAATCTCATCTGTAAAGAAAAAATCCAGTATTTGTTTAAAAGTGAGCCTTGGTAAGAGCAGGGAGTATAAAACCACACCCCTCCTTACTTATTTGCTGGTAAGCCCAGGGGTTGGTACAAGATGGGCAATTCAGTCCTCAGATTGGTAGGAACAGTGTTGCATGAACGGAAATGAGTGGGTCTTTGAAGAGTCCCTGGGTCTAATACATTTTTGCTCATCTCTAAGAGAGAGGAGTAGAAATAAGACTGCAAAAATAGAACCATAGTAGAGACAGGGACGAAAGGTGGTAAAGATAGAACAGAACTGTTTCCCATCCTTTATAAACTTGGAGAAAGTTACCTTCTGCCTACATGTGAGAACCTGTTTTTGTTTTTGGTTTCTTCTTCTTTAACCCAGAAGTAGGCAAATTGGGCACTATCTTCTTTAAAAATTCCGTGGTGTCAGTTTCATGGTATCCCTTCCACAAGGAACCCCCCAACCAGGTTGGTCACACTTTCAACCATTTGAAAGGTAACAAGAAGCTCTCATCTCCAACCTGCCAGTTGGCCTTAGGAGAAAAAAATCCCTCAACAAATTTACCTTGACAGAATATATGGTAGGGGAGGGGGGAGTGTGGATTGTGTTGACCTGTCCTACAGAACTGAAACAGAAAAACTGAGACAATTTTCAGAGCCGAGCAACAGCTTCGCTGAAATTGCTAGTCTCAGCAGCGCACACTCTGGAAAATCAAGAAGTGGTCCAATCTGAATACGCTATCGGTCCCTTGATCTCAAGAGATTATAAAGGGGAACTTTGTTAGGGTTCAGGAGGCGTGTCCTAACCGCCTGGCCACCTGGAGGACAGTCCTGGAGCCACGGAACCCGCCCCTCCCCCGTCCCAGGGTACCTCTCCCTGCGGCTGGCAGTTATGACAGTTGGGAAGTAGAAGGTGCAGAAGACAGAGAGCAGCTCCACACAAAGAAGAACTTTCTGATAACTGTCCCGACCCAAAATGAACTGGGCTGCCTTCGGAGAGCCTGAGTTCTTCATCCCAGGAGGCATTCAGATAGAGGCGAGATGCCCACTAAGCAGAAATATCACAGAATGGTATCAGGATAAGGGGGGGGCAGGGAGAGGGGAGGTTATGTGTGCTCATCTCCCTTCCCTGTGAAGCCTCTCCCCTAACTCAGAATGCTTTCTTGCCGGTATTGAGGACTAGCCCAGCCATACCTCCGCTAGCAGCAATGAGTAATTTATGTGCTGTACAGCGTTTCTGAAAGCAAGGTCCATGAATTTCTTCCACTAGCATTGCTGTGTGGCTGTAGAAACCTACTCTAGACCTACTGAATCAGAATCTTTGGGGAGTGGAGCCCAGGAGTCTGTATTTTAATGTTTTGTAGGTGATTCTTATTAGTAGCTAAAGTTGGAGAATCCCTGGCTTAGTAGTTAAAGCACTTCAGAGGTTCAAATCCTTCCTCTACTCACTGGGGGATCTTGGGTGGGTTACTTCAATTCCCCGGGCCTTAGTTGCCTGGTCTGTAAAATGGGGCTAATAGTTAATTCCAGATTTACGGGGGTTTTGCGACATTAAATAAGGTAATGTGTATAGAGTGCTTAGCACCACGTTAGCTGCTGGGATGAGCATCATGTAATAGTAAATCGTGACAGCATCTCCAGCGACTGGGGATCCGAGCTGGGAATATAATGCGGGTGCTCTACCGAGCAGGCTGGTCAGTCTCAAACTGACGTGCGTCGGAATGACCCGAGGTACTTGCCCCAGTGCTGATCCTTGCGTCCCACTCCCCTGTTCTGAATCAGTAGGTCTGGGAAGGGCCTAGGCATCTGTATTTTTATTATGCTCCGTAGGTGACTCGGAGTTTGTAGTCGCCTCCCGTGGTGTTCTCTGCTAGGGCAGCATAGTGCCTTTGTGGTCAGACAGACGGGTGTTCAAGAACCTCTTCTAGAAAGCTGGATGACCTAGGGCACGTCTCATAAGCCTCCTTCCCTCCTTTTGCTCTTCTGTAGAAAGACTGTGCTAATAATCCCCACTTCTTAGTAGTAGTTTCCAAATTCCATATATAGGTAAAGCAGCTGGCAAAGTGCTTAGCATGGGGCAAGCACTCAGGAGTTTCTGTAGCTAAAATCCAAACAAAATGTAGCTTCTGTCCCTTCTTCCATCTTCATGGAAAATGTTGCTATTACTAAGCCCACTTGAGTTAATGAAAAGTTTCGGCCTTTTACATATCCAGTGCCAAGGGAGCCGCTGACTGTATCTTTTAAAAATCCAGTTAAGACTATCTTTATTGACTAAGGAAGATCTGGGCCAATGAATTGGTGGCAGTGGTACAGTTAGGGGTTGCAAACACACCCTTCTTCTTGGGTCTTCACCGAAAAGGACCCCCGAGTTCTGTTCCTCTGAGATCACACTGGCACAATACAAGAGACTAAATACCAATGGAAATTTTTTGCATCCTCCCCTTTCTGCTTTGCAAAGTATTTGACTTAACATTTTCTGTAGGAGGCAATTTGGGTTATTTTTACCTGCCTGATTGATGGCTGGCAACTTGGAACTTTGGTTTAATTCTAGATTGCTGAGATGTCAAGTCTCCCAGGAGAGTTAACTCTTCTAGCCCAGGGAGGGTGGGCCCAGCCATCCTTGGCCTTGGGGACCCCCTTTCTGGAAGCTGCACTTGATAAAGTACATGTGGGTCTCTCTCTCTCTCTCTCCCTCCCCCTCCCCTTCCCTCTCTGGCCCAGGTATCATTACTACGGCATTGCGGTGAAGGAAAGCTCCCAGTATTATGATGTGATGTATTCCAAGAAAGGAGCCGCCTGGGTGAGCGAGACGGGCAAGAAAGAAGTGAGCAAACAGACGGTGGCATATTCACCCCGGTCCAAACTTGGAACACTGCTGCCAGAGTTTCCAAATGTCAAAGATCTAAATCTGCCAGCCAGTCTGCCTGAGGAGAAGGTGACCACATCTGAGGTGTTGCTGGGAGTGGGTGGCTTCCCTTTCTCTCTCTCTCACACAACACACACAACCTCTCTCCCTCTCAGTGCAAAATGGTGAGTTTAAAAATATAAAGATAGAGGGGTGCGTGGGTGGCTCAGACTCTTGATTTTGGCTCAGGTCTTGATCTCAGGGTCATGGGATTGAGCCCCGCATCGGGTTCTGCAGTGGGCGTGGAGTCTGCTTAGGATTCTCTCTCTCCCTCTCTCCCTCTGCACTATCGCTGCCCCCCCCCGACTCACATACTTACACTCTCCCTCTAAAAAAAATTTAAAACATATAAAGATAGAAATCAGCATAAAATATGGACCTTAGTTAATGATAATGTACCCGAATTTATTCATTAGTTGTAAGAAATGCACCACCCTAATGTAAGAGGTTAGCAATAAGACTAATGGGTGTGAGGCATATGGGAGCTCCCCATACTATTTTCAGAACTTGCCTGTAATTCAGTACTCTCCTAAAATAAAAAGTTTATCTACCTATCTAACCTCCCTACCTCCCCATCTATGATGCCACACTGTCTCATGTCACGAAGGAAGAACCCTTTTGGCTCTAGATTGTAGATTGGTTTTTTTAATAGGATTGAGTTGGTGTCCCCGTGTGCTGCAGAGGATGTGGTGAAATCATAGTCCCATAGACAAAGAAGACTTTATAGGGTACCGTGAGTCAGATAGTTGGGGTCATAGGGCATTTGGAGAAAATGCCTGGAAATACCTCTCTCACCTGCGTATCTTGACACAGCCCAGTGCACTAGCAAATGCTGAGCGTCTGCTGTCTACGGATCCCCCTGGGAGCTGGGACACGCTGTAACTGAGGCATGAGTCCTGCTCCCAGGAGTCTCATGGCCGAGGTGGGGAGATGGATGTCCATGCACAAGCAGGCTAAGTTTACATAAAATGAATGCATGTCGGGGCGCCTGGGTGGCTCAGTGGGTTAAAGCCTCTGCCTTCGGCTCAGGTCATGATCTCAGGGTCCTGGGATCGAGCCCCGCATCGGGCTCTCTGCTCAGCAGGGAGCCTGCTTCCTCCTCTCTCTCCGCCTGCCTCTCTGCCTACTGTGATCTCTCTCTGTGTCAAATAAATAAATAAAATCTTTTAAAAAAAAAATGAATGCATGTCTGCATTCTGGAGCAAAATGAGGATCTGTAAATGCTTTAAATCTAAGAACTAGTAACTTTTTTCCCCTCAAAGTTGCTTTTTTTTTTTAAATCAATAAACTTCCTATATTGTAGCTTTAAAATTCTTGGATAAATAGATCTGGAGATGTTCTTCTACTGAGCAGATTCCAGGAAATTTCTGAATGTCTTTTTGTGATTTTTGGCAAACATCCTTCTTATAAGTACTCATTGGGTTTTAATTCTTCAGTATCTCAGCTGATGAGGAGAATCTAATTAATAACGTCCTACTGAACTCTGTGGTGGGCCAGGTGCCATGCAAAGTGCTAGATACACGAGTATGAATAATATGCCATTTAAATATTCCCAGGGCCCATGGTCTCAGGTGTGGGGAACGGGAGAGAGAGAAAAACCCACGCTTTCCACTGGATCCCAGGGCAGGTGCTCTGCTGGAGAGACATGTCCAGAAGCACAGAGGAGGGACCCCAGGGCCAGAGAGCACCACAAAGGAAAATCAGACTTACTTGGGTCTTACAGGATGAGTAGGTGTTAAGTGGATTTCATCCCCTCAACAGGGAATAAGTGACTTGAAAATTGAAATTCCAAGGGGAGACAGTGGTAATATCTATTAATTATGCTTTTATTGTTGACCCCCATCTCCCCACAGGTCTCTACCTTTATTATGATGTACAGAACACACTGTCAGAGAATACTGGACACTGTAATACGAGCCAACTTCGATGAGGTAGGTCAGTCAAGGTTGAGCCACAGAATACTCTGTATTAAAATATAGTAGCAGGAGCTCCTGTTTTGAGAGCCCCTACCGCGTGCCAGGCCTTTGGAAACCCCTGTGGTGCGTCAGCTCCCGTCATCTTGCTGGTGACTCCGGGAAGCAGGTGCTGTCCTTACCCCCATTTCACACATCTTCTGTGTGGACAGCAGGTGGCAGGGCCCTCTCCTTGATCTGACACGTGCACTGTCACCTGCCCCACTGGCTTACGAGGAAGACGGTTTCTCAGGGTTACTGTTATCCCCGGTATTATAGGTTCAGAGAGACAGGAGGAAAGCTTTCCTATATTTTGGATTTAATTTTTTTCCGAGGCCCCATTTTCTTTTTATTTTAAAATAGTACAGTTAAGGGATGGAGAGTAGAAACAGGAGAGGATGAAGGACAAGTTACATAACCAGAGAGACCGTAAAATAAACCTTCTTGCCTAAAATGCCATCCAAGAAAGCCTTCCAGAGGGACAGCAAGAAGCCACACGTTTCACCGCATAAACCTGAGGCCTTTCTGATTCCAGAAAATGCCTTGAGGCAAAAAAAAAAAAAAAAAAAAAAAAATCCAACCCCCTTCCCCCCCACACACACCCCCTCTGGCGTAGGTGGTGGACATTGAGTTAGAGGACGATGCAGGCTCCAGTGGGGCTATAAAAACCAGGAGCTATTGGTGGATGAGATCCCGGAGACTCCCTGGTGTGGGTTTCAGGGCGGGAGTGCGCCCTGTGGGAGAGGGGAGGGTACAGAATGGCGTGGAGCACAAAGTGCTCTCTCCCGCACATTCGTGTGCCTTTCTGCCCCCGCGGCTCACCGCAGCGAGCATTCACTGAGCGCTGCACTTACTTGCGAAAGGTCACGGACTGTTCCCTCAGTAACCGAGGCACGGGTGGTCGCCTGCGAGCTGGCACTTGGCTCACGGGTCCAAAGAGATAGCAGGGTGCTGGTAGAGAAGGACTCCTGCTCCTGCTCTTGGCTTTCATTCATGAGATTGTTGAAATCTCCCAATTCGTTGAGCAGCCATTTAAGCTGCTTCTTTTAAAAAAAGAAAGAAAAATCACTGCTTTCTCTCTTGTTGTGGTTTGGCTATTTATGTCTTACACCCCAAAGATCACTGAGATGAGAGCAAATAAAGGTTCATGCTCAGTTCAGACCACATTGGCTTCTGTAGCTAATAACCCCAAGTCTTAATACATTAGAAGTTTATTTCCCACTGGTGTCACGACCCAGCGTGGACGCTCACAGGGAGCAGGCTGGTTCCTGGGGGTAGTTGAGGGACCCAGGCTCCTTCCACTATGTGGCCACATGCTGCCCTAGAGCCTTGGCGTCCTCATTGTTCAGCCTATAGATGGGGAGAAGGATTACAGGGAAGACATACCCGTTTCTTAACCTTGTCAGCCCGGAAATAAAAGGCATCATTTTTGCGCATGTTCCATTGGCAGAAGCTGGTCTCATGGCCCCACCGTGATGCCCTCACTGGGCAGCAATTCTCTCCCACAGAAGAGGAGCTCGGGGAGCTCTAGTGGCCAGCTGTCCCTCTCCACTACAAGTACTAGCCACAGAACTAGAGACAGTCTCCCCTTACATTCATATGTACTTTATTCATCTCAAAACTCACACTCATCCTCTCACTATGCTTAATTCCATGCATTAATTCCAACACTTACTGGGCACTTAATGGGGCCGTGCTCCTGCTGTAGGTCTCAGGAATGGGGCAAGAAGTAAGACCTAGCCCACGGGGGGAAAACAGGCATGCCCATCAGGAGTAGGATGCGGAGTATACAGTGAAGGCTGTGGAAACCTTGAGGGGGCTGAGTGCTCTTGTGGGGAAAGTGCCAGACTCGGAGCCCAGGCTCTGCCATGAAGGCCGTTATTGTTTATCCTAGAAATAAAGGTAAAAATATCATCTCTGCTTTTTTAATGCAGAGCGTTCCTGGAAGGTGAAGATGAGACAATGCCTAGCACAAACCCTTTGTAAACTATAAAAGGTCATATGAATGCTTGTCGGGTATGTCAACCAGAGAGTTATAAGACTGGCTCAAGGACACACATTCGGTTAGGGCCAAAGTCATGGCTGACTCTTTTGTCACCTGACACCTCCAGTCCAATATTCTTTCCATGCCCTTGGCAGGGAGATTTGGTGGCTGTTTTTAAAATGGGTAATCAAAGTGTGGTCCATTCACCCAGCCACAAAAGAATGAAGGGGGTTATTTTCCTTTTGATGGGCATGGCTTTCTCCCACAGCTGAGGAAAGTCATGGGTAAGTGGATGGTAGGTGCATGTGGTACACCTTGACCTTGCAGTTTGCTTCAGGTCTTCAAGATCTTTAAGGGTTGAGATTATAACTAATGCTGGTATCACATTCTTAAATTATCTTGTTGGCTAACTCACTGTTTGTCTCCTACCTTGAGGACAGGGACCTTGTCTGTCTTGTTTGCTCCTGTATCCACGTTACCCATATTCTTAGGCTCTCGGTAAATATTTGTTGGGGAGATGAGCGCATGGATGGATGGGTGGAGGGATGTAAAAGTGCCACGGCCTTGTAGCCCAATCAGGCAAGTACAGAGAGCCCCAGTCTGCACAGAGGGGACTCCCTGCAAAGCCTTCTGCAAACTATGTTGCATAAAGAGCTGTCAAGTCCAGAGGTCTTGTGTTTGAGTCCAAATTCACCACTTACTAGCCTGTGACCTTGAGCAAGGTACTTAATCCCTCTGAGCCTCTATTTCTTTGGCCCTAAAATGGAGATGATCATTTTATCTACATAAGAATTCATGGAAGTGTCTGATTTTGAAATCAGAGCGTAATAAATGATAGATATTTTGGTGGCTAATGTTTTGTTGAGATCCTTTCAACGCCGTAGCAACTAAGCACCCCTGACTCGAAGTTATCAGATGTGTTTCCAGAAGGTGCTAATATATTCAGGATGAAGTAAAGAACAGATATGGAAAAGAAATAGAAAACCCACATAGGTATTCTTAAGGAAATCTTCTCCTGATGCTTCACTGAGCCAAGAAGGGAAGGGCTGGGAGTTCAGGGGACAGGAGTAGATAATCCAAAAAACTTGTGCTTTTCCATCCTTTGCCTCTGACGATGTCGCCTCTTAAAAGGAATAAGGAAACCTCCTCCCTTCGGACTGATAACCTGTTTCTGTTTGTTAGATCCCTACACACTACCAGGCATTTTGCCTCCATGATCTTACTGGGTCCTGTACTGGGTAGATGCGATCTCTATTTTACAAAAGCCAACAGGTCTCCTATTGAGGTATTTCTGCATGGGCTCCAGACTCCGTTGACTTGACGTCCAACTTAATGTGGCCAAATCAGAGCTCTGACTTTCCACCTGAACTTGTTTTTCCCTTCTCAGAACCCACCCAATGGCTCAAGCCACGAATCTTGATGCATCTCCTCCCCTTACCCTTCATACCCAGCATCCTGGGAGATCCCACCTGCTCCCCCTCCTGTGTAACACTGTGCCTGTCCACTTCACACCCAACTTCCAAGTCTAGGCTCTTGAGCTTTCCACTGTTCTCCCTTCTTCCTTTCCTCCTCACTCTGAAGAAAGAGTACCTTAGGACGTTAAATGGACTAAAACGTGGAGGGTAAAAAGGGAGGTTAAAACTGTCCCAACAACCCCCCTCTCCAAAGGCTGCTCAGGAGACTGAGGACTGATCAGGGCTCCCTGTGCAAGCTGAGCAGGATTAAAACAGACAGATGCCTGCTAAAGACTGATTTCCCACAGATTTGTTTTAACTACACAGCCACTGATCTTTTCCAGAATTTCGGCTAGAAATTGACTGCTCACATGTTTTAAAAAAAAAAAAAAAAAAAAAAAAAAAGGCAGTAGGGCTGCATGCAAGGAGAGCTAAGAAAGACAGATGAATTCAGAATCTACCAAATCATAGGAATCAACTGGGCAGAGGTTTCTTTTTTTTTTTTTTTAAGATTTTATTTATTTATTGGACAGACAGAGATCACAGGTAGGCAGAGAGGCAGGCAGAGAGAGGAGGAAGCAGGCTCCCTGCTGAGCAGAGAGCCCGATGTGGGGCTGGATCCCAGGACCCTGGGATCATGACCTGAGCTGAAGGCAGAGGCTTAACCCACTGAGCCGCCCAGGCGCCCCTGGGCAGAGGTTTCTAGGCGGTTTTAGAAGGGCAGGCAGGGAGGTCTAGGACCCGGGGGACCCCGATGCCCAGGGACAAGCTGGCCTTAGGGAACAGTGGAGGGTCCTCTAGAAAGAAAGCACCTTAGCCAAGAGCCCTGGCCATCTCTAGGCTCAAGCCAAACAGCAGTCAGCCACCGGCCATCCCCGTGCCAGAGCAAGAGCCTTGACAAGTAAGCAGAGCTGCGGTGGGCATCCTGGCTGGGTGACATTCAGAAGCTTAGGCAAGGTATCACAAAGCTTAGGGGAGCCCGTGGATTTCTTGGGGCCAGTAGTGGCTGTGTCTGCGTGATGTAATCACCACTGCCACTAACCTTTAGTAAGCATCTACCATGTGCCAAGCATTAACATAGGTACTTACAGGAATCTTTACCAAAACCTATGCTGTAAGTGCTACCTTTACTGCCATTTCACAGGTGAGGAAGCTTACCTCTCTCTAAGCTAAGAGACAGTACACCCCTGGTTGGTAGTGGGTCCTGGGCTGGAACTCTGGAAGATAGTCTTCACTCATTTGCCTTTTCTGTTTTAAGTTCTAGTCTGCCTGAATACTCTGCTGTTATGGAATAAGGGGGACTGACTTAAGTGTCAAAGTTTACAAACCTAAACTTCATTCACCACATTGATCATGGTTTTGCTCAATACCATGGGCCCACTACAAAATCCGGGGTGGGGGGGGAGTGTACTTTCTCCCCATGCCTTATCCCATTAGCCTCCCACCCAGGCCAGGCCATGGGTGTCAGAGAAGTCTGTCCACAGGAGGCTGAACTCAGGTCACCAGGCTGGAGTCAGAGGTAGCCTGGTCAGAGGAAGGCGAGACCCTACCCCTGAGAGAGGCCTGAAGGACACTGCAAGTCGTGAGGACAGGGGTCATGAGGACAGGGTTAGAAAGCTGGGGAGCAGACAGCAGTCCAAGAAGAGCTGTGGGTGTCAGGAATGGGGTAGAAGAGCTTTTACCACGAGAAGAACAAACTAGCCACGAGACTGATCTGTGGAATGATCTGTGGACAGACATGGGCTCCGTCTCATCCATTCCCTGACATGCTGTCTGGATTTGGACAAATAAGTTAATGTCTCTGCAAAGTGGGAGCAAGGATTCTTAGCTGTAGTAATACAAGTATTCAGTGAGAGAACCCATGCAAAGTGCCTGGTCTGTCGTAGTGACTTGATAAATAAAACAGATGCCCATAGTAATTCCATCTCCAAAGTATGAGACAGGGTAGGGAGGGGGAGGGTACCAAATTATCTTTTGCGTTGGATCAGGGTTGATTTAGGGAACCAGGAATGTGGGTAATGCTACATGTGGGGGTTTGAGAGAACCCATCTGTGGGGAAAAGAAGGACACATAGTCCAGGAACCAAGTGGAGCCTATGAGAATTCTCAAAAAGTCAGTCATTTGTTCCCTGTCTTCAAGATGAGACACTCCTCAGTGTTAGCTAAACTCTAGGTATTTTTTTTTTTAATTCTAGGTATTTTAATGGTATTATGTACATTAGTTAACCATCTCTGCTGTTTCCCTTCACTTCCCTTACCTTGTCCTGTACCCCGGGCCCCCACCCCGCTGTCTCCTTGACCTCCAGCTCACACGGGAGAAGATGGAGGTGTACAGGCCACTGAAGTGTTGTCTGCCTTAGACATGTGCTCTGCTACTTCCTCAGCAATGGCACAGCTAGAGCTCCTGCCATGATATTGATAACGCTCTCTCCAGTGCCGCTTGTATTTCTGTTCTGTGCTAGTGGTTGGGGTGGGAGTGCCCACATGGTTCACCGCCCACATACTACCATCTAGCATCCCATAGCGGCCACAGCCAGCCAGGGCTCTTTGGAGAGTTGGAGGAATTTGGATAGGAAGAGGTCTTTGCACTTTCTTCTGGTTTGGGTACACACATTTCAAGATATATTCCAGATACATTCCTTTTACCAGCACCTCACACATCATTCCCTTTTTTTTGAGAACACCCAAGGGCCCCAATAGGCCCAAAGAATAGTGAGCACTGGTGCTCTGCTTGTTAAGAGCACCTTCCCTTCCTTAATCTTTCCCTGGACCTCGGTGAGCATGAAGGAGGGGAAGGGTTACCGTGCTACTCCTCTCTGGCAGGACAGACTTGACCCCAGGCTGGGAGGTCAGGTGGTTCTGCAGCCGGAAGCATGCATAGATGGGCAGGGGGAGGATGGGGCTGGGGCTGGGGTCACCCCTGCACAGCAGGGGGAGCAGATGACCCCACTGCAGGCTGGTGGAACCCGCGCCTTTGGTGGAAGGGCCTCGTAACCTCATGGTTCTCCTTTCTGTGGGTTGATACAGGTTCAAAGTTTCCTTCTGCACTTTTGGCAAGGAATGCCCCCCCACATGCTGCCTGTGCTGGGCTCCTCCACGGTGGTGAACATCGTCGGCGTGTGTGACTCCATCCTCTACAAAGCTATCTCGGGGGTGCTGATGCCCACCGTGCTGCAGGCGTTACCTGACAGGTGGGCACGCTTCTTCTTGCGACTCGTCCTTAGCTCGTGCTGTTCCTGCCTCTCTCTCACTGAACGTAATCATGCACTGTCTGGTGCTCTCCCTTGTAAAGACCACAGACATTGGGCTTTTAAAAATTCAATTTGATTTACAGTTTTTAATATAAATAAAAATGTGAACATTTTGAACCATTTGTGTGGTTCAAAATTCAAAATGTATAATGCGGAAATGGTGAAAAGTCTTTCCCTACCAACTCCTGTTCCCTAGGTACCCCACACTTCTCCATAAAGCATCAAATTGAGTCATTTTCTTGACACGGGGTGAGGTTCAGGGGGGTCCATCCAGACCTACTGGGTACATAACCGATGCATATATCATACTCTTTTTTTCTTTCCCACTGAAATGGTGATATACTCTATTATACTATTCTGCACTTTGCTTTAAAAAAAAAATCATGGAGCTTATGCTGGGGCTTCCTTGCACCTCCAGATCACTCCCCACCATGCCCCACACTGCTCCCTTCCCCGGGGGCTGGACCAAATGGAGTACCTCACAAGGCTCCCTCTCCCTATCTTCAAGGGAAGATAGTATCTAGGAGGGAGGGAGAAGGGGGAGGTCAGGAGACGGACTCGTCTCTCTCCTGGGAGGTCACCTCAGGCTGGCTGTGGCCATCCACACCCCCCACCACCATACCACCAGATTCAAATTCTCCTGGAGTACCTGTGCTTAGGTTGGAAGCTTGTCCTTTGGACATGGGATGGGTGAGAGCCTGCTGCCCTTAACCCCCACACCACAGCAGAGTCTCCGTCATGGTCACCTTCGTGCCTATGGACACCTTCATGACTTGTCCCTTGTAAATAAACTCTCCTATTTTGAGAGGCCTCTATTTCCTATTAGGACTGTTAGAAAATATTTCACATCAGTCTGTGAAGAGATCTTATTCTTTTTTTGTGCCTGCATACTGTTCCCACTGGACTGGATGTAATCAGTTGTCTTCATGTTTCCAGCCTTGTTTTACTACAAATAATGCTGTGATGGTTGATGTACATTCTTTTTCAGGGGGCAGGGTGCGTTAGCTTTCCCAGGGCTACAGCAACTAAGTAGCACAAACTGGGTGGCTTAAAACAACAGACATGACTTCCCTCACGGTTTTGGAGGCCAGCATGTTGGAATCAAGGTGTTGGCAGTGTTGGTTCCTTCCAGAGACGTACTCTGTGCCTGTCTCCCAGCCTCTCGTGGTGGCTAGAGTCCTTGGTGTTCCTTGGCTTGTAGATGCTTCCCTCCAGTCTCTGCTTCTATCTTCACATTGACTCCCGCTCCATGTGTCTCTCTCTGTCGCATAAAGACACTTGTCATCGGATTTAAGGCCTACCCAGCTAATCCGAGATCTCATCTCAAGACCTTTAATTTAATCACACTGCAAATAAGGTCACCTTCACACATTCCAGGTGGACATACTGGGGAGTGGGGAGGGGGTACCACTTATCCCACTAGATGACATGTGTGTGCAGAATAAGTTCCTATAGGGCTGAATTTCTGGTTGGAAGGATATATGATTTAAACTCAGTGAAGTTTTGATGGGCATTTCTTTTATTATGAGTGAAGTTGAGTGTCTGTTCATATCTTTAAGAGTAATTTCTGTTTTCTTTCCTGTGACCGCTCAGTTCTTCTCTTCTGATCATTTTTCTATTTGGTGGTTGATGGTTTTCTCATTGATTTATAGGAGATTTTATTTTTTTAAAGATATTATTTATTTGTTTGAGAGAGAGAGAGAGAAAGCAAGAGAGATCATGAGCAGGGGGGAAAGGGAGAAACAGGCTCCACACCAAGCAGGGAGCCCCGACGTGGGGCTCCATCTCAGGACCCTGGGACCATGACTTGAGCCAAAGGCAGACGCTTAACTGACTGAGCCACCCAGGCATCCTCAGGAGCTGTTTATTTATTAGGTATAATAACCATTTATCTGTGTTGAGTTGCAAATAGTTTCTCATTTTGTTGTCGTTGTTTTGTCTTTGCTGCCCAGAAATAGATTTATGTAGTTGAATTTATCAGTCCTTGCTTTATGGCTTTTGGATTCGGTATCATAGCTTTAAAAGTCCTCCCCATTCCAATGATTAAGTAATTTTCCCATGGTTTATCACACTAACTTTATGGTTTCATTCTGTACTTTTGAATTTTTGTTCAATCTGGAATGCATCCTGGGATAAGATGAGAAGTATGCCTTTGTTTTCTCCTCAGCAGCTCTCCTGTTCTCCCAGCACCGTATGCCAATTATTCCATCTTTTCTTTGGAGTGGAGATGCCCTTTTTTTTATATAGTAAATTTTATATGTATTTGGGTTGTTTCTGGACTTCCTATCCTATGCCATTGATACTTCTCTGCATTCATGTTCCACGGTCACTCTGCTTTAAGTTTTGTGCTTTTATTTATTTATTTATTTACTTATTTGCCAGAGAGAGAGAGAGAGAGAGTACACATAAGCAGGCAGAGAGGCAGGCAGGCAGAGGCAGCGAGAGAAGCAGGCACCCTGCCGAGCAAGGAGCCCGATGTGGGACTTGATCCCAAGACCCTGGAGTCATGACCTGAGCCAAACCCACTGAGCCACCCAGGCGTCCCAAGTTTTGTGCTTTTAAACATATTTAATATGTAGTAGGACAAGCTCCTCATACTTACTTTCCTTTTTAAATAATTTTCCAATTACTATCACTTATATTTCCATATGAACTACCTTGTCATCAGTTTGCCTATTTCGATAGATCATAGATCACACTTACACATGTATTCTTATTGGGATTACATTACATTTAGAGACCAATTTAGGGAAAATTATGTATTTATGATACTGAGAATTCCTAACAACATGGTTTGCCTTGACATTTATTCTGATCTCATTTTGTGACTGTAGGAATACTGTAAATGTTTTTCTTTCTTTTTTTTCTTTAAAGATTTTATTTTTTTGACAGACAGAGATCACAAGTAGGCAGAGAGAAAGATGGGGAAGCAGGCTCCCTACTGAGCAAAGAGCCTGATGTGGGGCTGGATCCCAGGACCCTGGGATCATGACCTGAGCTGAAGGTAGAGGCTTTAACCCACTGAGCCACCCAGGCACCCCTGTAAATGTTTTTCATATAAATCTTACACATTTAAAAAATTTATTCTTAGATATTTATCTGTTGGTTGCTATTGTGAGTGCAGTGTTCTCCTCTACAGCTCTTGACAGTTGGTGGTTTATGTCTATGAAAGCTATTGATGTCTGTGTGTTATATTTGGAGCTGGCTATGCCAAGCTTATCTTGTTGTTGTATTTCTTTTTTCAGGTTCTTACATTTTCCATGTTTAGAATCCTGTTATCTATAAATACAAATAGTTTTACTGTTGTTTTTCTAATTTTTATACCTCTCATTTATTTCTCTTACCTAATTACATTGGCTTATGCTTCAAGAACATGTTGAAGTTCTTGACTGTAATGAAAATGCATCTAGTGTTTCTCCATTAAACATTGTGCTGGCTTTTGAATTAAGATTGATATATTTATCATGTTAAGGAATGTCTGTATTTTCTTAATTAAATGTTTTGTGAAGGATGTTGTTGAATATTATCCAGTGGTTTTCATCATCTATGGAAATTATTATATTATCTGTCTCCTAATACTGAAACATTCTTGCATTCTTAGAATAAATCCCACTTACTCATAGTATATTTTCTTTAATGTGCTACAGGATTTTATTTGTTAATGTTTTATTTAGAGGTTCTGCATCAAAGCCATAAAGTGAGATTGGTCTGCAATTTTCTTTTTGTGTTTAATCGTCATTAGTTGTTGGTATCAATGTTATTCTTGCTTCATAAAAGAAATCTGGAAGCTTCTCCCCACCCCCATTTTTCCCTGTGCTCTGACACACTTTAAATAGCATTAAAATTATTTGCTCTTGAAGTCTATGTAGAATTAATTCCCCTTTGAAGGCATCTGGGTGTGGTGTTTTGTGGGAGTAAGTCTTTGAAATTGTTCTTATTTCTTTTTCCATAGTAATTGGTTAGTTTAGATTTTCTGCTTCTCTGAGGTAAGTTTTGGTAAATTACATAATATCCACTTCTAGATCTTTAAATGTATTTGCTGAGGGTTGAGCATAGTGGATTTGTAGTCTCATTGAGTTTCCTCTGTGTCTCAATATTTCTGCTTTCATACATTTCAGTTGGTGTACTTGGGCTTTCTGCTGCTTCTCTGTGATTAAGTTACCGGTTTCATTTTTTCAAGGCCCATGCTCTTGGATATATTTATTGGTGCCATTACTCTTTCTTTTTTCTAATACAGCAAATTATTTGACTCATCCCTTTGACTTTCCTAAGTTTACTCTGTTCTTCATTTATTCAACAAATACTTTATTGAGTGCCCACTACATAGTTTGTTGTTTCATCAGTGATCCAAACCAACTGACCAAAAAATAGACGCTTGATATACTTACTTTCTTTCATCCTCGTTTAACAACATAAATATTTCAGACTTGAGTTTTTCTTTAGCACTATTTGAGCTGCATCCCATTGGTTTTGATATGTAATATTTTAACATTGTTATTTCCTAGATATTTTACAACTTTGGTTTGGAGTTCCTCTTTGCCCTAAAAATTTTTTAAGAGTCCTTAAAAACTTACAGTTGTTAGGAGCTATTTTTTTCCGGCTATGTTATTCATTTTGCTTTTATTGCCTTATGATTAATGACTGTTTTCTGAACTGTTTTTTCTTTTGATATTTTATGTGTTTTCTAATACATGGTCAATATTGTGACACTTGGGAAAATGAAGCACTGTCTGTCTTCAAAGTACAGACCTTGACAGATCTGTATCTGGGTCAACATTATTGTTATTTATTCTGTTGTCTTAGTACTTGTCCACTTGGACTGTTATGGACCAAGACAGGTAAATAGGTTTCAGACTTATTACTAATATGTGCTTAACTATTTCACCTTGAATCTCCCTTAATTTTTGTTTTTGAATGTTGATGCTATGTTGTATGATGTT